ACACACAGTGAGGGGGCAAAACACAAAGATAGCCTGGGTCACTAGAGGTAAAACGAAAATACAAAGGGCCTGGGAAAGTTGGCAAGTACGGGGATATTTTGCAAACATGGACAGTACCCGGTAGGGGTATTTGGCAAAGATGACAGGTCCAACCGACGCCAGGGGCATTTTGCAAAGCATTATTTGTGTCAGAGGGGTATTCCTCTCTACCCAGATCTTTTAGGGGCATTTTGGCATATATTTCAACTTATAGGGGTATTTACCGTCTTTTGCAAATTATCCTTTTTTTTTAATTTTTTAAATAATGCATCTCTGGAGCAACGATCCAAGCATAGGCAAAAAGAAAAAGATCCACGCAAAGGTGTACACCAGTATTCAGTAACTCAGACTTAACTCCCTTATGAGAGTAACGCCAGTAGAACAATTGGACAGTAGAGCCGGCAGAGGCCGGGCCAAAGGCAAGGGAAAGAAGGTTCAGTACCGAGGTTCTATGTGTGGGGTGACAGAGAGAAGGGGGCGGAGAGAAGTTATTTAGAGGGGTGGGTGGGGTAAGGGAAGGGGAGAGGAAAGTTGCAGAGAGAAGGGGGCAAGGAGTGGTTATAGCAGGGTCATTTCTCATCAACGGCTGAAAAATTTGAAACCCAAGCATCCCATATTAGCTGATGGCTTGCAGAAAGCCCCCTCAAGCATCTGATAAACATAGCAGTAGGAAAGCGTTTAAGTCCTCCTAAATCAGAATCAAAAGTACTAGTGGTTGAAGTAGTAGACCCCAAAGTGTTACCTACGTGTTTAACTAAAGTTGAGTTTTTAACGACTTTTTACCGTGCTTTTGCCATCTTCTACAAAATGCTAACGCACTCAGGCAATGAAGAGTAATGGAAGGCTCATGATCTTTATCCACCAGAACAGTAAGCAAGTTGCCTTCCGAATTGCTGACTGTTAATTGGAGTTTCTGCCAATCAGTGCCAGATCCATTACCATGCAGGCAACCCAACCCCATCACAACATCAATCGAACAATCCTCCATCACATAATAGCTCAAGGGGTGAGTGACATGCCTGCCTTCGTCAAAGGAAGTGGGAATACCTTTGACAAATTGACAGTGAGTGCATGTGACAACAAACTTGTTGCCAACCCGAGTTCGGGAAGGATGCAGCAATTCCTCTGTCCTCCCTTCCAGATGTACCTTCTGGATGCCGCATGGGACATGAAATTAGCAGCTCCGCAATCTATCAACATACTTATCCATGTACGATTAATGTAGAGCTGAGTTTAAAGGTGATCAACGCAATCGCTTACCAAGTGATATACCCGCTGGACCTACTTGGTCGAGCAGCAAGTAGCCTTGCTACCCTGCTGGTCTAGGTTCGTACCCACACTCTCCTCCAGCCTACCCCCTAGGGGGTTCGGGCTTCGAGAGGTGGGTAGGGAGCGGGAGCGGAACGGGGGGAAAGCGGAGGGAATCGCTCGGTCGGGTGTAGGGGGGAGGAGAGTCGGGATGTCTTGCTCTCTCTCTCTCTCTCTCTCTCTCTCTCTCTCTCTCTCTCTCTCTCTCTCTCGAACGGGATCGGGGAAGCCATTGGGGAAGCCAATCGCGAGGGGAGAGCCGTGGTCGGGATCGGGAGGGGTAGATAGCTGGATCGGGATCGGGATCGGGAGGGAATGCAGGGTGCAGTTGGGGAGGGA